CGGCGGCGGCTCCAAAGCAGCCCGCGCCCGCCCGGAGCCGCGCGAGCAGCGGCGAAAGAGGCGCAGCAGCGGCGGCAGGAGAACCCGGGGAATCGCGCTGCCGGGGTAAAAGCTGGAGCGAGGCGAAAGCGTGTAACAATTGCACACACGTACACACACACACACACACACACACACATACGCGCGCGCGCGCGCGCGCACACACACACACACACACACACACACCACTCACACGCACTCGCCGCCCGCCCGCTCGCACAGCGCTGGGACACGCGCGCCCAGACACGCACACACGCACGCACACACACTCTCACACACGCCGGAGCACGGGGGGGGGGGAAGAAGCCGATGAATAATTTTGCTACTATTTTTTAAAATACTGGCCGCCATCATCAAGCAAGAGCAGCAGCCAGCTTGAAGGGAGAGGAGGCATGGGGCAGGGCCCTGTAGGAGAGGATTTATATCTAGGTAAGTGTTGGAGATTTAAACCTACCCTTTGCGCCATCAGTCTGCGCTCCAATAAACTCCTGGATGTGTCGTATATTTAAAATCCCAGTCCGGATAAGAAAGTGAGCTAGGCTGAAGAGTCTTTTTTTTTTCCAAACCAAGGAAACTTCTCCCAATTTTCCAATGTTATTTTTTGGGGGGTGGGGGAAGCTCAGTCAAGAAAACGAAGATTTTTTTTTCAATGAGATTTCTTCTTTTTCTCTTTTTTTCCTCTTCTTCCTTCTCCTGATCTTCCTCCTCCTCCTCCTCTACCTCCTCCTCCCCCTCCCCTCCTCCTCCTCTTCGGTCCTCCTTTATCCCTTTTTCTCTTCTCTTCCTCTCAGTTGAAAAAAAAGAAAAAGAAAAAGAAGAAGAAGAAAAAAAATTGTCAAACCCCCGAACTGAAGGTTATGAGCGGCCAGTCAGCAGCCCACATGTAACCGAACTGTCGAGTTTCATGGCTTTTTGCCACTCCAGCTGTCAATCAAAGCCCGGAATGTCAAGGTAGTGAATGAATGATGGTTGATGATGATGAAGAGGAGCAATCTTTCAGACTTGTTTTTTTTTTCTTCCAGTAAAACTCCGCGAGGGGTTTCTTTTTCTTGAATTTTTCCTCCCCCCTCCCCCCTCTTTTAGCCTTGCCCCTAAAATAGCTCTAATATGATCCTCTCTCTTTAAAGTATTGTTCAAAGAAAGCAAGGAGAAAAATCAAGAAAAAAATGAATAGTTTGCAAAAATTGGACTTCCTTCCCCCCTCTCTGGTAGGTATTTTGTCTCTCCCTCTCTCTCTTTCTCGCTCGCTCTCACTCGCGCTCGCTCTCTCGCGCTCTCTCTCGCGCGCGCTCTCTTTCTCTCTCTCTCTCTTTCTCTCTGGGAGATGAGTGAGTGTCAGTAGGTGTTGGCAGGTTGGCTGCAGCCCGGCTTATAGTAGAGCCTCAGTTTGGCGGCGCGGGTCGGCGGCGGGAGAACGAAATGACGGAACCCGGAAGTCGTGGTGGCCATAGCCCGTCGTGCAGCGGAGACACATCCCGGGAGTGGGGAGCTGGAGCGAGGAGGAGCGCGCAGCGCGGAGCCTCTGATATGCAGCGAGTGCGGTCGGACGGCTGGAGGGGGGGGGGACTGGGGGGGAGGGGAGGCTGGAGCCGAGAGGACCGGAGCAAATCAGCAAGCCTGCTTCTCCAGGGGGACGACTCGGCTCGGGAGGGGGGGGGGAGGAAGAGGGGAGGGAGGGGGGGGATAAGGGAGGGGGAAAGGGAGGGAGAGTGGGAGGGGAGGGAGAGAGGGAGGGAGAAAGAGAGAGAGAGAGAGAGAGAGAGAGAGAGAGAGAGAGAGAGAGAACACGCAACACGCGTGATTGGAGAGGAGGGAGGAAGAGGACAGGGAGAGCACAGACAGGAAAACTGCAGAAAGCCACAGGGAAAGTACGGTACAACCTTAGATATTTTTATCTTAAACTTACTTCTAGTTTATTTCCCCACCACTCCTCTTGGCTCCTGCCTAACTGGGTCGTGTTGGGGATGTTTGGCATGGCGCTCTCGCTTTTGTTCGTTTTAATTCCGCGGCCCCTTCCTCTGCCCGCGGATTCCTAGGTCCCGAAGTCTCCAGCTAACAACCTAAAGCAGCAAGCTCAGCCGACAGTACCACCGCGGGGCTAAATTTGTTGTTGTTGTTGTTAAGTAGCACTTTTTTCCTAGAGCAGATGCAGAGCCCTTGTTGTCAATATTCATTTCTTTTTTCTAGTACAAGATGGGAGCAGCTTAACTCTGAGCGTAGTCCCGCGGCGAGCTGCAGACAGTAGACCACCTCGGAGAGTCTTGGGGTCCTGGGCGAAATCTGGAAGGAGGAAGTAGGATGAGAGATTAGCGGGGTAGGAGTTAGCAGGGAGCGAGTTGTTTGGTGTTTGTTGTTTACCGAGGTAGCCAAGCGGGGTGTGCGTGTGAGTATGTGTGTATACACGAGCGCGAAAGCGCGCGACCGGTGTGCGCCTACAAAGTGAATCTTGGCTCTGGGAAGCACCGAAGGAGAGCGATTAAAGAGCAACTGGAATAGAAGATACTCGCGAGGAGTGGCTGGCGCTCGCTGCCCAGCTTTGTTGTGGTTGCCCTGGGCGCAGCGGCAGCTCGGTTGTAACGAGGGCTAAAGGCCGAGTTAATTACACCGGGCGAATTTCGCTGGGCGGGGACGATGGGACTGGCTCCTATCGAACTTTTCCCAAAAGGAAAAGGAGGCGAGTGGGGTTAGAAAGGTAAATACCCGACAAGATTTTTGGTAGAAACTTGTTCTGGCCGGGGTCCCGCTCAATTCCTGGTCGGAGTTCCAGCTGGCTTTACCTCTACGCCGCTGCTTCCCGGAGGCTGCACGTCAATCAGGCAGAGCCGAGAGCTGGGGGCGGAGCTTTGGTCACCCGGCGCGCCGAGCCGGGCTCACCCTGCCGCCACCCGGCAGCTGGCTGAGCGACCCTGCCAGGCTCTGGGAGCGCGCCCTCTCCCCAACTTCTCACCCTCGTCCAGGGTTCCCGGCCCGAGGCCCAGGGACTGCTGCTGTTCAACCGCGGCCTCCCTTCCCAACTCTGAACCCATTCTGTGTGGTAGAAAGCAGCGCCTCCTAATCGGATGGCTTTGACTGGACTTTCTCGTGGGGGCGGGGGTGGATGGGAGTGGTTAGGAAGAGTAAAGTGGTGTGTGTGTGTGTGTGTGCGTGCGTGTGTGTGCGCGTGTGTGTGTGTGTGAGAGAGAGAGAGAGACAGAGAGAGGAGAGACACAGAGAAACACACACAGAGAGACAGAGAGAGAGAGAGAGACAGAGACAGACAGAGAGAGAGAGAGAGAGAGAGAGAGAGAGAGAGAGAGAGAGAGAAACGTTCTTTTTGACCCCCTTTGCATCTTGGTTTCTTCGTAAGCTTCTGAGCATCCCAAACTAGCTAAGACCACCGCTTGCCTAGACTCCTTGCAGAGTCTGAGGAAATTTGGCCTCGTTTTCCTAGGACTGGGGAATGAGCTCCGGAGGTCAATAAAGCCCTCCAAAAATGATGAATGATTGAGCACCTGTGATGATGATAGTGATTACCAGAGCAATTAAACAGTTTGATTAAATGAGCCATCATAACAATGATGTCTGCGGGAAATCGGCCCTCACATATAAAGACTGTGTGGAGGGGCTGGCAGAGGCGCGGAGAGCGCGCCGGGAGAGGGGCCTCGGCCCGCGCGGGGTTGACTCCGGTGGCCAAAGCAGGGACGGCGGACTCTGGGAGCAGACTCAAGCCTAGGCTTTCCGTCTCGGTTCCTCCCTGGCTTCAAGCCTAAGACGTCCGACCTTTCTGAAACCTGAAGGACCACAGGGTCCTTTCCCCCGCCCCCCCGTTTTTTTCTCCCTAGAAGAACTCCAAGATTACAAATATCCACTTCATTTGTCGCTGTTACTCGTCGACACATAAGAAAAGGTGAGTGAAAGAAAAGGAAAAGTTGTCTCCACATTTTTATTTCAAGGGGTGGGCGGTAATTAAACCTCCCCAGTTTAGCCGCCTAGGGGTAGAGAGAGAGAGACAGAGACAGAATTTGGGAGAATTTCTGGCCTGACTAACCACTGTTTTCTGCCTCGCGGAGTTGTGGATGATGATGGGTCCAAGTTGTCGGTCCAAGGCGGCTGGAATAGTTTACACTCAATTTTGACTCTTCTAATTGTTCTAAATTTCAACATTGACTATTTATTATCGCCAGTAAGATTGTTGCTATTTTTAAAGTCCGGGTTAGGTAAAAAGTTTCTTTTTCAAAAGGACTCCAGAGATAAACGCTTTTGCGAAGAACAAGTTCGTGAGAAACCTCTGTCTTTTAGTCTAAGCATGCCTAACCCTTTTTTCTTTTCTTCTTCTTCTTCTTCTTCTTCTTCTTCTTCTTCTTCTTCTTCTTCTTCTTCTTCTTCTTCTTCTTCTTCTTCTTCTTCTTCTTCTTCTTCTTCTTCTTCTTCTTTGTTTTTTTTTAGCACCACTACTCATTCCTTGCCCCATTGATATAATAAAGCGATTTAGCATCCCGGTGACCTTTATTTAGCAAAACTTCACTAGTGTTAAAAATAGCAGTAATAAGGTTTCTACCTGAGTAAAAATTCAGACAAATTGACCATTTCTGTATTTTAAAACAATCGTTGAAGAAATAATGGCTTGATTAGCTAGTGGTGATTTGGGGTTTTATAAAAGAAAATCATAAACCGCTTCCTACGACGGGAGTGCAGAGGGTCTTTAACCCGAACCCCTCTCTTCCTCTTTCACCAGGCAACTTCTTATGTAATTTGTCGAATATATTAAAGGAAACAGGAGGACAATCTGGTTAAATGTAGGGGGCAGAAAGGAAGGGTATTTTAAAGTATTTTTTTTAAAAAAAATATTTTTAACGAGATTTTTAGTTAAGAAGTGTGGGGTGGTTGGAAATAGCACACTACTGAAGAACAGCTGTATGGCTCTGAAATACACTTTATCTAAAAGGAGGTGCTGTTTCCTAGCAACTAAAAAAGGATTTGTTGCTCATATGCATGCTATTGGTGAAACTATTAGTTTAAATGTTAGTTTTAAAATCCACCGCTACACTACACCACATGGGAGATGAAACTGGAGTTGATTCAGTGTATCTCTCCTGGTTACTGTGATGACTTCAAAGGACTACGATTATCAAGGACTTGTGGGTATTTTATTAATAATACAACTGCAAAGGGGTCTTCTAGTTATGGATTGATTACCTGTTTTCCATCCTTGATTTCCCTATCTGATAGAAGCCATCCCACAGAAGCGAGGTGTCCACACTTTCTCTTTTCCGTCTGTGTGGACGCCTTGTTTTCAGAGCTCGGCACTCCACACTCTGGATTAATTTACTCTCCCACATTTGAGGTGAAGGGAAATAGGTGGGGCTGCCCCAGAGACAAACAAGAGATGGGGGTCACAGGCGCATTGCACACCTCAGTCAACAGTCAGCTCCTCCTGCCAGGCTGGAAATGGTTTTAACAGGCGGTAAAATTTCATCTTGCGGTGTCAAATTGGGGTCATTTTGGGGTTAGAGTTCTCAGTGTCCGTGAGGAGCTGTCCAGCTGTGTGGGGACTCATTAACTGCAAAAGATCTGTTTCAGTAAAAACAATTCAAAGACAATCAGAAGGCTAAAGACTCTCTACAAATCGCATTTTACAAGTGCGCCAGAACAAATATGGTTGGTAAAACCTATTTCTTCACAATCCCAAATCAGCTACTTAGCTCTGGAGTGGGGGGTGGGAACATTGAATTAAAAAGGAGGTGAAGGGGGGGGTGCCGAAGGGGGGTGAATGAGAAGGAGAATTGGGCCTCTCAAATTTAAGAGTCTGTTTTTAATCACTCCTTTCTTATTGAAGCATCCCCTAGACTTCTGAAAAGCTCTCCTTTCTATTTCTCCTTTTCTTCTTTTGATCCCTTGTGGAATGTTACTATAGGTAACATTAAGGATTTAAAAGAATAATGTAAGCCCCCTAGTTCTGTAGCCCAATGGCATTGGCTTTCGGGAGGGGAGTTCATTTGAAGCAGCCCTTCTAAACTGGAACTATGTTCTAGCTGAACTTGCTCAGGCTTCTTGAGGTGGTATTTGTGGCTGTTCTTTTTATATACCCTCCCCACAATTTCCAGATCCTCTGCACAGATAACTCCAAATTCCTCAGAACTGTGAGGTCCTGAAGTGCTAATCTGTGTATTAAAATCGCCAGATTTAAATCCCTTTTGTCTTCTTTACAACAGTTAGAACAATTGATGCTTTACTACACGAGCAAGTAAATCCAGCCTTAATCTTGTTTGTAACTTCAGTTAATGTTTTGATTTGGAATATTTTGTATTAAGGAGACTTTTATGTAAGAAAAAAAAAACCCGAGATTGTGTTTGATTTGGGGAGGTTCTGTTCCTCAGTGTGAAGAAAGATGACCTATTCCTTTGACTTAAGAGGATTTCATTGGGTCAAAGAAGAGTTCAGGGTTAAAATAGGAGGTTAAACATGGGAAACGCCAGGATTTTTTTGACAAAACGAAGTTGATCTATAAAAGTAAAGTATCGTTATGAAGGATATTTATTTCCTTGGATTACTGAACCTAGCAAGCAAAAAAAAAAAATCCTCAAAACGCACCATCCATATTCTCTGTCTGTACCCCACCTCTGTTCCCACTTGTCCCCTTTCCCTCCGCACTGCTTTCCTATGGATTCTAAAGGAGGATACTTTTTGAAGTCCCTCTCCTTTCTCCAGGCTTCCCAGGGTGTTTGTAAATTGTTCTCCAAGGATTCTGTGGCCCTACAGAAACCGCCCTGAGCCTAGTCTTATTGGGACAAAGGCACAGAGCTGTCTCCTGCCTTGGTCCTGTTGCTGGCTGACAGTTGGAATTTTTTATACATAGTTCATTTCATGTTTCTAATAACGTGTTTGTCCCCACTCTGCCCCTTGGAGTCACTTACTACTTTTAAAATGTCTCTTCTCCTTAAACCATCCCTCATCCTTGTGAACTGTTTTTGACCTCCCCAGCAGTGTAACAGAAAAGTTAGAAAGAATTCTACTCACTTCCTTACCTGTTACCTTGCTTTATGTTCTTTTTAAATGACGTCTACAGAGAGAGGGGGCTCGTTGGGGTCCCCCTCTCCCCATCACCACCACCACCACTTATTGTTTTTTGCCTTTGTTTTGTATTTATTTTTATTTATTTATTTTTTGCTATTTTACCCCTTGGTGTTCTATTATAGACTTCTCTCCCTGGAAATAATACTATTAAAGCAATCTACAGGTTTTTTTTTTTTTTGATGGGTGGAGTAGAATTGCTGCATTTTGCTTTTTCCCTGTCTTATTTCTTCCAGTTTTAGCTATTTCCCTGTGTCGCGGGAAGAACGAGTTTCAATAAGTAGCCCTCTAGCGCTATCTGGCGGGGCTCCAAACGCGCCGAGCACGACGGTGCTGTCAGTTTCTCCTTCCCGCGTCCTTCCCCTCTCCTCTTCCACTATCTCTAGTCTCTTCTGCTCTCTGTACCCTATTTCCAGTTCCTTCTTTGCCCCTTCTGTCCCCTTTCTATTCTTTATTACAGTTTCCAGGGCAGACAGCAAACCCTGTACCGGCCAGCACCTTAGCCCTTGCAACTAGATGGCAGTCCTGCCACCCAGATCTTGCGGGCTTTCCAGTCCTGAGCCAGCGTGGCTCACGTCCATCCACTCTCTTTGATGAGCACTTCAGCGGTGTTAAACGTGTTGACAAGTCCCACGGTCTCCGCGGGCGGTGTTTTGAAGGGGCTTAAAACTACAATTGGGAAGTTTGCTGGAAAGAAACAAAACACTGGACTTTCCCGCTAGCACAGTCGGGGCTAAGATTGAGGTCTGAAGGCTGGGCACCCGGTGTGAGTGGGAAGGGGCATCTCAGGGACAGGACAGTAGGTAAGGTACCAAGTCTTTGCCAAAGGAATGGGAATTCGGTAAAACACGTGCTCTCAGCACCCCAAGATCTAGCTTTCCAAGGCACTGTCTCAGTTTGCAGTCTACATACATGGCGCCTGCCCATTTTCTCTTCCTCCAGATAACCAGTTAACCAGATTTATCCCCAACATCCCCACCAAACACATGCACAATTTGGAGAGAAGTGTCAAAAGCACGAGTAGGAAAGCCCCCTAGAAAACCCACAGTCAACACACACCCGCGCCAGAAAGCCAGTGGTGCTAAACCCGAATCGCAGGCATCTTTCGGTAACCTATAAACACTCCGGGGTGTTAACAGAGGTTAGAAGAGGCAGAGACCAAGATAGGCAGTCAAACCTGCCAGGCGTCTCATCACAGGGCTGCTATGCGTATTCATATTCTCTATTTCTTTCCCTCCTCCCTTCCCATCTCTCCCTCCTTTCTGTTTCCCTCCTTCTCCCTCTCATCCTTTTCTTCCTCCCGCTCAGCCAGAGAGAAACCTTCAATCCTTGCTTTAAGCAAATCTTCCACTTACTCCTCTAAACGCCGGACACCTGAGACTGAAGGCCATTTATAAATGTGTTTCCTAAGAGCCAGTTATTGCTCTGAAGTAGAAGTGAGGCCACATGCCCTAACATACCTAGAAGGTGGCTACTACAGGTGTTAGAAACTTTGTCCTTCTAAGTTTTCTGAACCAGAGTCTCAACTCTGGATCGGTTTCTATAAAAACTGCCAAAATAGAATAGCAAAGAGCAGGGAGGGTGAAGAATTCCTCCCACTCCCCAGTGCTGAGGGAAGGCGCAGTTGCTTGTAATTAATTGAAGATTGTTATAAGGTCATCATTAGTCAACGTGCAAATAATTGCTGCCCATTTTTACTTAAAATTGACCAGCTCGAGTGTGAGAGATCGATTCAGAGGATAAAAATGATGTATCAAAACATCAATGTCGATTATTTGAAATATTGTCGTCGAATTTTTTTTATTGCTTCATCGGTTAAGTGTCTGAAAGTGCGGTGTTCAAACATATATTTATGTTGTCAATACTGTCAGAACTGTCACTTTTACACTACCGGATTTGTACTACATTTCAAATTTGTTCATTTGCATAAAATGCCCACCCTAGGATTCCCCTCACTCCCACCCCATCTCTGGAAAATCCCTGTCAGTTTCTTCAAAGGATTCTGCGATCTTTGCCTAAAGTGGGCACTGCTTCTTTTTCTCAAATTCCCAGGACGAATTACACTTCTTTTTGCACCATTTCTAACTTTGGAAGAGGCACTTTCTCCTTTTTGCCCAACTATGCCTAGCATAACCTTTTCTCCAAGACAATGTTGGAGCAATGCGAACATCATAGTCTAGCTACAAAACACGACACTTGGGAAGGACAACTGGTTAAAACAGATTCCACCTTACCTTCTTGACCACCCTCAGGTGAACCCAGACTCCACCAAGCCTGGTCATCAGGGCCTACCATCAAAATACCTGAAAGATTGAAGTCTTCCAGGAAAATGAATGTAGGAGTAAAAATACCTTTTCTTTCTTTTTTTACTTAAAAGCTGCGATGGTAGGAGAGGAAATCACACACACATAAGTGATCTGCACGTTTTACCTTTAAAAGCTTTTGAACTCCCACGAAAGACACAGGTTGCAAGCAGAACTGACAGTTTTAATTCTACCCATTTTCACGTAGCACGTCAGATCAGAGGCACTCATTTATTTTATGGGGTGGGACATTAGAAAAGCAGATAGGGTGAATTCGATTATCTCTATCCTAAAAATCCCAGAGAAATTGAACTCTCTTATTGAAACGCAAACATTCCATCGCGGCTGTACAATTAGTCTAGACTAATTGAAATTTATAAATTCACATTCTGCTTAATCTTAGGCTTTTCATCCTCTCAACCCCCCTCCCCGCCCCCATCAGGATTCCAGCGAAGTCTGGGAGGTAAGGATGTGACGTTGTTTTAGTAAGCCTAAAACATTTTCATTATCCTTTTAATGCTTTTAAATAGGTCTGTTTGGACATTCAAAGAAGCTACACATACAAAGATGGTTTGGCTCGGTGCCGTCAATCCCAGCATTAAAAAAGGTAAAAAAAAAAAAAAAATCTGAGCGTCCCTATACTCATCCTTGCCTCGAATAAATAATTAAGTAAGTAAATAAACAAAGTGCGAGGCAAAAGAAAGTTTACTGCTTGCATCTGTTGGTCGTCGTGCGCGCGTGTATAAACATCTTGGAGTCAGTGTTTGTACGTTAATCTCCTCCCCACCCCCCCTCCCGGCAAGGGCGTGGAGAGATCGCCCCCAGAGAGCCGTGTTTACTCGTTGTTTTTTTTTTTTTTTTAAATCTCTGGGCTGTGTATGACAAGTGTTACTTGAAGAAATTCATCGGCCTTCTCGAGATGCTTCCAGGTTTGCTGTAATGATCTGCAGAAGAGAACCGCCACCACTTTCCCACATCCCAAGGTGTTGGCGGAACTAGAGCGAGGGGGAGAGTGACTGCCAGGCTTAATTGCGGAGGGGAGGGCGGGGTGCCTCCCGGGATCCGAACCCGGGCGGGGGTTGGGGAGGTAAGATGCAACCCAGGAAGGGTCTTTCTGAACGCTGAAGTCGCCAGTTGGAGAATATTTGGACAAGGTATGATTGCCTTATTCCCCCCCCCATCTCAATGCCTTTGGGGAGAAGTGATACCCTTGTGTAACAATTAGCTCAGACAATAAAAATAATTGGAAAATCAGTTGGAATTTCTGAGTTTTTAATTACGTTTAATTTTGCACTAAGCCGTAAAATTACGAATGCCCCTCAATTAAACACTTTCCTCTTGCAAAGCGTTTAGCAACAATTATTCCTTAATCAGTCTGAATGTGAGTCACAAATGGTGCTTTTCCACATCAAAAGGACGTCCTTCCTTCCACGTTACCTTTTAGTCATAAGAGGATTAATTCCTGTAATTAGAAGGATAAATATGTGCATAAATATCTCTCTCACTCTCTTCTTTAAAACAACAACAACAAAACACTTTCACTGTGTGCGAGACACAGTGGGCGCGGGAAGGGGAAGTGTTTATGCTGCTGAGGGGTGGGTTTTGGCCGGACACCCCTTTGCGTGCTCCGGCCGTGGGAATCCCGGGCTGCGGGCGCGCCTCGCAGAACTGGAAGGACACGCCAGCACTCACACTCAGGGATGCGCTCGAGTCAGGCCGCAAGTCCAAAGCTGGGGTCGCGAGGACCCGAGTCCAGCCAAATTCTTCCAGATTGCATTCCACACCCCACTTTCGCCTCTGGCCGACGCAGCGGGACTTCATTCTGGTCGGTGCCCGGGTCCCCTGGAGTGGAAGTCCCTGCCCTAAGCCGGAGCTTCAGTTTGACTTTTCAGGCTGCAAATAAAAATTGAGCATGACCTTTTAAAACTCCAGTGTGAATATCTCATTTACCTAATGACTTTATGTCACCTACGGAGAAGGTCAATTTCCTCTTAACCTTTCCCCCGCTGCTGCAGTAAGCATTCTTCCCTAATCAATGGTGGCTCGAATGATCAATTCCCATTTTATGATCGCTGACAAAGTCTGGCTAGGGGTGGGGAGTGAGACCAAGTTGCTGGCTAGGCCAGGACAGGGGCGTCGGGTACGCCCAGCTCCGCCCGGAGCCTCGGGAGGCTGCTCTCTCTCCGCCGAGTTCAGAGACCTTGGCAAACTTCCCTCCCCCACCCGCCAGCGAGACTTCTGAGTTGTCACTAATCCGAACCTGAAATTCACCAGAGCCCCTCTGGTTACAGACAACGCTCCTCGCTGTTGCTGGGCCTCTCCCTTGCCCACCCTGCAAATGCTTTCATTTCTTAGTCTTCCAGTAGGACTGCCCGACCCTAAGGAGAGAGAGTGTGCGTGTGTTACTTTTATTTTTCGAAATTAAAATTATCTCTTGCATCGTCACCGTGGATCTCTCAGCTCCTCCGCGTTAACTTCGTGTAAACAAAGCAACAACAAAAACCCAAGGGCCAGGGATTCTCGGATTCTCTGATTCATATTCTCTCTCTCTCTCTCTCTCTCTCTCTCTCTCTCTCTCTCTCTCTCTCT